TATATATATATATATATAGTATATATATATATATATATATATATATATATATATATGTATATGTATATGTATATGTATACGTTTATATATATATATATACATACAAATATACATATATACACACACACATATATATATATATATATATTTATATATATATATATACGCCTATATACATGTATGTGTATACACTTACCGCTTCCTCAGCAAACACCTTGACGTTGTTGTTATCCGTAACATTGAGCTGCTTCACTGCCACTGGCGACTCGTGACCATTGGAGTCTTTTAGCATTGCAAAGTACACCACACCAAAATTACCCGCGCCCAGCAACTGCACTGTTTTGATGTTCTTGATGTCGATAATTTGGTTTCCCATACGAGCTCTGGCACGCACAGCCACGGCTTCTGGCTCATTGATCTCTGTAGGAACGTGTGTATACGGTTGATGTGAAGGATTAGCATTACTTCATGGTAGATTGGGTGTAGATGCCAAATGGTTTATTAATCTGAAAAAGAACGTGTATACGATTGGTGTGAAAGTTTTGAATCATTGCTATTATATATATATATATATATATCCCTTATGAATCTCCTCGTACTTACGCTTTAACAGATCAGGCGGCAAGTTGAACATCGGGTGAATACGAGCTTTTTTCTCCTCACTCTTCCTCCGTTGGCGGTTTAGAACAACGCAGTACCCGACTATCAAAAATACCACTACAGCGGTCAAAATTAGCAGCACACAGATCAAGGCGATGATGCCGTCGGACAGACCACTGTGTTTAGTAAATAGTGTATAAAGAGTGCGTTGAGAAATGCGGTACTTGGTGCGTATACCGTGAGAGTACGTGTTGTTTGCACTTGCAAACGTGTCAGCGGCCAATCTAACCAAGCTAAGCTAGAGCTACATAGACCTAGTAATATGCGTAATAGTAAGGCTCTCAATTTATTATCAGCTCACAAAATGCCCCCACCAAATCAGACACTAACTATTGGCGCCGCTTGCCAGTACACGGCTTTAAAAACAAAGCACAAGTATATATTTATTAAGTAGTAGTATAGATATTAGGATACCATACATAAAAATATGCATATGTACATACAACTGTCAAACATATATATACATGCACCCGAAAACTTGCATAGCCGACTACCACCGCACTTTCAACAAAATGCACTCTCGTATATTGTCCGTGCAAATTAATCAAACGTCCGAAGCAACTCTCCAACTTTCATCGCCTTAACAGTGGTGACATACTCTAACTTTCATCGCCTTAACAGTGGTGACATGCTCTATATTTATATTTTTTTCCACTTGCCAATACATAACTTTTAAAAACAACACAGTGAAACATATCCATTGATAACGATAACCACAATCAAATACAATTCATATACATGACCATATCCATATACATACACATATACATATACGAATATGAATACGTATACATATACCTATGTAAATATTGAATAAACAAGACATAAGACTCTGAAACATTAAGCATACCCGTCACCATCGCTACTGGTATCTACCATAGGCGCATCCGCAATACTGACGCCGACCACATTTTGGACCGGTGCTTGTTGTTGGCGCAAGAACTTGGATTCCAGATTCTTCACGGCCAGAGTGTTCATACTGTAGTAGGCATTAACACTCCCCTCCTCGATGCGTTCCAAGGTGACGTAGCTGCGACAATAAAATTCGTAGAGTGAGTACGGAACGTAGATGATAGGTACATTTGTGGGTATTATCAACGATCTCTAAGGAAGGGTGTGTGGTTGCCTCAAGCTCCAGAGAATAGGTCGAATGCATTAGCCATGCGCCAAAAAGTGAATGTAGTGGATAATTTTCAAGCTCCAGAGAATATGTCGAATGCATTAGCCATGCGCCAAAAAGTGAATGTAGTGATATTTGCACAAACACGGACACCCAAACACTCACCTTTTCACACATACATATATATATATATATATATATAGATATACGTATACACACACACATATATATATATAACATACATACATAAAAAGATGCATAGATGCATATATATGACACACACCTAGACGGTACTTCCAGATTAGCCGTCAGCTTGTTGGTGAAGCTGACACTATCAAAGGTATCGAAGTCCTCGTTGATGGCAAACACTACAGTCTGCGTGTTGCACGAACTGCCGTGATAGCCATTCACGCATTCGGAACACACAATGTCGCTGTACGCGGTACATGGCTTCAGCTAACGATACAGATACAGATGCAGATGAAGATATGAGTAAGAGAAGTCGGCCATGAGATACGATGTGTGTGGAACGATGCGAACGAAGAATACAACACTCAGACAGAGATTTGCCATGAAGAGTGGATGTGACAGCAGGCATGGTAGACAGCCTCGTACGCACGTGTTTATCATATATGTAATAGGTATATGAACAGATATACTCCTATACCTACATACCTATATATCTATCTAACTAGCTATCTCGGTCAACCACATCTCCTTACACCAGTTATATGTATTCAATTTGAGTACGTACGTACCTGGATTTTGCAGTACATAGGGCTGCTGCACAGCCCACACTCGGCATCTGTTTTGTCGGTCAGATTGCGCAGATAGTACGCGTTATCTTCACACTCGGTCCCTCTTTCACACACACGGTCTGTGACGTTGTTGGGCTCCGTTAGCTCGTACTCGTCGTCTGCACATCGAGTGTAGGGCAGACAGGGTGTACCTTCAACCGCCATGAAGTATCCAATGCTGGTGGTTGGTGTTGATATATAGATGAGTATCGGTGTATTAGAATGCATGTGCCTATGAAAGAGCGGAAAATAAGACGGGGGTGGTTGATCGCACATGTATGTAAATGGTAGTGTAGCGGAAACAAGAGTCAGTAAGGCAACAAGCCACATGTTCTTGTTCATATATGCAATGTACATTCAAAATTACAAATGTTCCCAGGTGTGCAATCCATCTCAAACTTCCAATTCGCGTCGTGAGCCAACCCTAAACTCAAAACCTCAGACCCCAAACCTTGAAAAACAAGCATCAAGGTTACATACCTGCAAATGTGGCACTGGATGCCCTTAGTGGGATCGGTGATATCGAAAGTACACGTACTTGTGGTCACGTCAATGTCGGCACAACCTTGGGGCAACTCACAGCGCTTGCTACAGTTCTCGCCCGTTCTACCGGTAGGACACTCGCACAGCTGTGTGAGATATGGATTGCGGTGCTTGAGGGCTTGTGGGTGGTGGTGTGTATATCCAGTGTTGTGTGTGTATAGATAGTTGGTGTGTGTGATGTGACACTCGGCATTTAGGGACTTATAGGATGTTGGTGAATTTCTTTAGTATTGTATGTGTATAGAGCGTTGTTGTGTATGGTATGAAGTGCGGGACTTGAGGAGGTCTGGGGTGTTTGTGGGTGTATCCGGTATTGTGAGTATGATGAGTTGTTGTGTAAGATCTAAAGTTTGGTACTTGATCTTGTATAAAAAAAGGATATATGTAAAACTTAGTCCATCATATGGATATAATAGTTAGTCCATTAGTAGTAGAGTAGGTGAGGCGCGAGTGGGATGTATTCGACATTGTATTGCATGTGTATAATAGAGCGGTATTTGTGTATGACAGACACGAGGGTATATGCGCTATCAAGGGTTCGACATGGGACTGGATTGTTGATGCAGACACAAATTGGGGTGGAGAAATAAATAGCTAGTCAGCTTTTGTGGAATACAGACAGTGCAAGCATACTACAAATAACCACCATGACATGCATAAATTGATTCCGGACTTTTTAAGGGGATATATATATATATATATATATATGTATGTATGTATGTATGTATGTATGTATGTATGTATGTATGTATGTATGTATGTATGTATATATGTATATATATATATATATATATAGTATATATATATATATATATATA